GCCGGCCCGTGCCCCCCCCCCCTCTCCCCCTCCCTCCTCCTCTTCCTCCTCCTCCTCCTCCTCCTACGCCTCCTTCCTCCTCCTCCTCTTCCTCTCATCACTCCTCTCCTCCCTCCTACTCCCTCCTCTCCTCACTCCTCTCTTCCTCCTCCTCCTCCTCCTCCTCCTCCTCCTCCTCCTCCTCCTCCTCCTCCTCCTCCTCCTCCTCCTCCATTCTCCTCCTCATCCATCCTCCTGATCCAGCCTCCTCCTCCTCCTCCTCCTCCTCCTCCTCCTCCTCCTCCTCCTCCTCCCCCCCCAGTCCTCGGCGCACCCCTGCGGCCTCGCCGCTCCCGCAGCCTCGGGGCCGGGCTGCGGCGGTGGGGGGCCGGGCGCGGACAGCCGCCTCGGGGCTGGGCGGGGGGCGCCGCGGCCCTGGTGGGGCGGCCTCCTCCTGCCCTCTTCCTTGAGGAGGGAGAGGAGGAGGTAAGGTGAGGAGGAGGAGGAGGAGGAGGAGGAGGAGGAGTGAGAAGGAGTGAGGAGGAGGAAAAGGGGAGGAGAGGAGGGAGGAGGAGGAGGAGAGGCGGAGGAGGAGGAGGAGGAGGAGGAGGAAGGAGGAGAGGAGGAGGAGGAGGAGTAGGGGAGTGAGAGAGGAGGAGGAGAGGAGGCGGAGGAGGAGGAGGAGGAGGAGGAGGAGGAGGAGAGGAGGACGGAGGAAGGAGGAGGAGGAGGAGGAGGAGGAGGAGGAGGAGTTAGGAGGAGAGGGAAGGAGGAGGAGGAGGAGGAGGAGGAGGAGGAGGAGGCGGAGGAGGAGGAGGAGGAGGAGGAGGAGGAGGAGGAGGAGGAGGAGGAGAGAGGAGGGAGGAGGAGGAGGAGAGAGGAGGAGAGGAGGAGGAGGAGGAGGAGGAGGAGAGGAGGAGGAGAGGAGGAGGAGGAGGGAATAGGGTATGATGATGATGATGATGCTGATGATGATGAGATGATGATGATGATGATGATGATGATGATGATGATGATGATGATGATTGATGAGGATGAGGATGAGGATGAGGATGAGGATGAGGATGGATGATGATGATGATGATGATGATGATGATGATGATGCTGATGATGCTGATGCTGATGCTGATGATGATGATGATCATGATGCTGATGCTGATGATGATGATGATGATGATAATGATGAGGATGATGATGATGATGAGGATGATGCTGATGATGCTGATGATGATGATGATCATGCTGATGCTGATGATGATGCTGATGATGATGCTGATGATGATGATGCTGATGATGATGATGATGATTATGAAGGTGGCGGCGGAGGCGGCGGCGAGGATGATGACGATCATGATGTTGTTTTTTTTTCTGATTCGGATCATGATGATGGTGATGATGATCCTGATGATGATGCTGATGATGATGACGATGCTGCTGATGATGACGATGATGGTGATGGTGCCGATAATAATGATACTGCTGATGATGATGCTGGCGGTGGTGATGGTGATGATGACGCTGATGACGACAATGATGCTGCTGCTGCTGATGATCATGATGATGATGATGACAGTGATGATGCTGCTGATGATGATGCTGATGATGATGACGATGACAATGACGACGATACTGATGATGATGATACTGCTGCTGCTGCTGCTGCTGATGATGATGATGATGATGATGATGACGCTGATGATGATGGTGATGGTGAATCAGGTGATGATGATGACGATGATGATGATGATTCTGATGGTTGTGGTCGTGGTGTTGGTGATGATGACGATACTGCCGCTGCTGATGGCGATGGTGACAGTGATGATGACGATGATGATGCCGATGATGACGATGATGATGATGATGCTGATGCTGATACTGATGATGATTATGCTGATTATGCTGATGATGATGCTGCTGATGACGATGATGATGATGGTGGTGGTGATGATGATTGTGGTGGTGGGGGTGATGATGGTGGTGGTGGTGGTGGTGGTGGCGGTGGTGATGATAGTTGATGATGATGATGATGATGATGATGATGATGATGCTGATGACGATGACGATGACGATGCTGATGATGCTGATGATGATGATTGTGATGATGATGATGAGGATGATGATGAGGATGCGGATGAGGATGAGGATGATGATGATTATGCTGCTGATGATGATGATGCTGACGATGACGATGATGCTGATGATGATGATGCTGATGATGATGATGCTGATGATGATGATGATGATGATGATGATGATGAGGAGGAGGAGGAGGCGGAGGATCAGGATGAAGATGAGGATGAGGATGAGGATGATCAGGATGAGGATGAGGATGAGGATGAGGATGAGGATGATGATGAGGATGGATGATGATGATGATGATGATGATGATGATGATGATGATGATGATGCTGCTGATGATGATGATGATCATGCTGATGCTGATGATGATGCTGATGATGATGATCATGCTGATGCTGATGCTGATGATGATGATGAGGGGATGAGGATGAGGATGGATGATGATGATGATGATGAATGATGATGATGATGATGATGATGATGATGATGATGATGATGATGATGATGATGATGATGATGATGATGATGATGATGATGATGATGATGATGATGATGAGATGATGATGATGATGATGAGATGATGATTGGAGGAGGAGGATGAGGAGGAGGAGGAGGAGGTGGAGGAGGGAGGAGGAGGAGGAGAAGGAGGATGAGGAGGAGGAGGGAGGAGGAGGAGGAGGAGGAGGAGGAGGAGGAGGAGGAGGAGGAGGAGGAGGATGAGGATGAGGAGGAGGAGGAGGAGGAGGAGGAGGAGGAGGAGGAAGAGAGACCCAGCTCCGCCAGAGCCCAGGCCCGCTTCTTTGACTATCGGAGTTCATTTGTGTCGTCGGCACCGTCCAGCCCCGGGGCCACGGCCCGCTTGGCGCGGGCGCAACCCTCGGGTGGATGGCAACGGGGGGTGGCAATGAGCGGGGGCATAGGCGGCATCGAGAGGTTCACTCTTGCACCGCTTCTGGGACGCGTGGGGTGGCAGTTTATTGGCCATTTCAGGGCCACTTGAGGGCCAGTTTCATGTACTCCGCGTTTTTTCCCCACATGTTTCGTGGGGTTCTGGTTTTCTTCCCTGCCGAGGCGCACCCGCGTCTCCTCACCTTCCCCCTCCCCTTCTCTTTCTCGCACCAGAGCAGGTGTGCAGGGGGATGGTCCCTGAGCTCGGCAGGCGTGGCATTTCCTCGACGCCACAGGGGGTGCGCTGGGGGTGGGGGCCCTACGCGTTTCGGTCTCGCAAAGCGTGGCAGGCGTGGCATTTCCTCGACGCCACAGGGGGTGCGCTGTGGGTGGGGGCCCTATGCGTTTCGGTCTCGCAAAGCGTGGCAGGCGTGGCATTTCCTCGACGCCACAGGGGGTGCGCTGGGGGTGGGGGCCCACCGCGGTCTCTATACGCGCCAATGTCGCAGGGCCTAGCAGGAGTGGCATTTCCTCGACGCCACAGGGGGTGCGCTGGGGGTGGGGGCCCACCGCGGTCTCTATACGCGCCAATGTCGCAGGGCCTAGCAGGCGTGGCATTTCCTCGACGCCACAAGGGGTGCGCTGGGGGTGGGGGCCCACCGCGGTCTCTATACGCGCGGGTCGCAGGGCCTAGCAGGAGTGGCATTTCCTCAACGCCACCACAAGGGGGTGCGCTGGGGGTGGGGGGCGGTGTACGCGGCCAATGTGCAGGCCTAGCAGGAGTGGCAGTTTCCTCGACGCCACAGGGGGTGCGCTGGGGGTGGGGGCCCACCGCGGTTTATACGCGCCAATGTAGCAGGGGCCTAGCAGGCGTGGCATTTCCTCGACGCCACAGGGGGTGCGCTGGGGGTGGGGGCCCACCGCGGTCTCTATACGCGCCAATGTCGCAGGGCCTAGCAGGAGTGGCATTTCCTCGACGCCACAGGGGGTGCGCTGGGGGTGGGGGCCCACCGCGGTCTCTATACGCGCCAATGTCGCCGGGCCTAGCAGGCGTGGCATTTCCTCGACGCCACGGGCGGTGCGCTGGGGGTGGGGACCCACCGCGGTCTCTATACGCGCCAATGTCGCAGGGCCTAGCAGGAGTGGCGTCTCCTCGACGCCACGGGGTGCGCTGTGGGTGGGGGCCCACCGCGGTCTCTATACGCGCCAATGTCGCAGGGCCTAGCAGGCGTGGCATTTCCTCGACACCAGAAGGGGTGCGCTGCAGGCTCCCAGGGCGTGGCAGGCGTGGCATTTCCTCGACGCCACAGGGGTGCGCTCGGGGTGGGGGCCCTGTGCGTTGCAGGCTCCCAGGGCGTGGCAGGCGTGCCATTTCCTCGACGCTACAAGGGGGCTTGACAGCAGAGAGGGTACGTAGGTAGCGTAGCAGCCTTCACATTTTCTGGAGTCTATATCTTGGGCAGTATGCACCGGTGCCTCAGGCGTGTATGCGGCAGAAGTATTCTCAGCAAGGTTAACTGTAGACACCTCGGCTCAAGCAGGCTCAAAGACAGCAGGCGCCCACAGGCATGCCCCCCCAAATGTGCAATGGCCGAATTGCCACCTCCGTGCACCATTCTCTTGAACCGGATGGTCCAGGTTGGTTGGCCTGGTTGGCTCGTGTGGTTAGTCCGGCTGATTCTGGCTGCGGTTGTTGGCATGAATAACATGGTTGGTCTGGCTGGTCTGCTTGATTGGCCTGGCTGGCTGGTCTGATTACTTTAGCTGGTTATGGCTGGAACGAATGATCTGGCTGGTCTGGTCAGTCTGGCTGGTCTGGCTGATCTGGCTGGTCTGGTCAGTCTCTCGTCAGGATGGCGAAGCGAGATGTGACATGGTTTGTGAACACACGTGGCATCAAATAAGTATGTGGGGCTCCTCGGTAGCGTAATTGGGCTGGTTCCTATTCGGTCGCTTGGCCACTCCGGGGGCCACGGGGGCCCCACGAGCAAGCAGACCGAGCCCACGCATGCCAGAGAGCAATCACAATGGCCAAGAGTTGCCAGACCTTGACTCTTGCCCGCCCGGGGAGGATCTGCTCGTTTGGTTTTGGGCCCCCGAAAGCTCACCAGAGTGGCCACGCACCGCCCGCACGGGGTCCGGGCAGACGGGGTCGGAGGATCGCGCCGCGTCGGCGACGTGTCGGCGATGCGGCGCGAATCCGGGGCCCGATTTTCGGAATGTCGACGTTACCGATGCTCCGCTGATGATCCTCCGACCTTTGGGCACGCCGACCCCACTGCGGCGGCCTTTAGGCCAAGCGACCACCACGTTACCGTCCACCCGCGCTCTTTCCCCGTCGGGGCTCCGCCCGGCTAGGCCGAGGCTCTGACGATGAGCCGGAGCTCTGGGGGCCCCAGCTGCTCAATCTTCGTCGGCAACGTGCCCTATGACGCGCAGGAGGAGGGACACGGGGCTGGTGGGGAGCTGTTGCTGCTGCTGCTCCTCCACCTTCTCCTACGCTCTCGTTCTCCTACTCCGTCTCCTCCGCCTCCTCCTCATCCTCAGTCTGCCCCGTTCCTTTTCCTTAAATATAACTCCTCCTCCCTGTCGCACCCCGAGGCCGATCGAAAGGGCGGACCAGGCGTTTCGCCTGAAACTTCTTCACGTCTTCTGATCATGAAACTTGAAATTTGCAACACTTTCACGGATTGAGGGCGGCCCGCTTTCAAAATGTGGCTTTCGTCTTAGCACCGCGCACATTCGGTCGGCCTGTTTTCAAAATATGGCTCGGTTTAGCGCCGCGCACATTCGTCTTAAAAGTTCGCAGGGGTTTCGCGGATGGAGAGAGGTCCTTTTTCAGAAGATGGCTCTCGCCGTAGCGACGCGCACATTCGTGTTAAGAGTTTGCAGCCGTTCCAAGGATTCTCATGGTTACCGTCCCAGAGATGGTGTTTTGGTGCGATGTCGGAACGTCAGGGCGCAATCGCCACGTTGACTCGCTGTGTTGATGTGTTCTGGCAAGATTCAGGATCGTCAAGACGCAACAGTAACGGTGATTCGCGGCGTTGAAGTCCCAGGAATGGTGTTCTGGCACAATTCCAGATCACCAAACGGTTTTCTTACAAACAGGCATGTCGTTCAGTGAAAACGAATTTGTGTAGTATCCTAGGAGAAGGGAATTTGGAGGGGGTTTATTGCGGTATCGTTGATGAATCTTGGTCTTTCTCCTCCTCCTCCTGCTCCTCCTCCTCCTCCCTCTCTTCCCTCCCCCTCCTCCTCCTCCTCCTCCTCCTCCTCCTGGAGCAGATCGGCCACGCTCCACCTTGGAGCAGGAGGAGGGACCTGTCCCATGGGGACGTTCGGGGGGCGCTGGGGCCGAGGCTCGGCGCCCGGCCTCTGGTGCGCGGCAGCTGCGAGGCTGTGCCGGGCAGGCCCAGGGAGAGCTTTGGGCCCAGGAGCGACACAGCGACGTGCGCGCCAGCACAGGTGATCGTTTTTCGATTCACTGTTTTGACGACCGGCGCGGGCCCTCGCACCCCCCCTCCCCCCCCCATGGAGTAGATCTTGGCTGTTTTTGGCGTTTTTTTCGAGCGGGTGGAGTCCCCCCCCCTTGTGACACACTGCTGCAAACAGTCGCACGAAGCAGAGGTCCGGAGCCAGACCCCCCCCCCTTCCGCCCAATGTCGAAACGCCGAATAACAAACACGCTCACCACAGGACTTTGGGAAGGCGAGGCGATACCACCCCCACCCCCACCAGGGGGGGCCACCTCCAGCGAGGGGGTGCACGACACCTCCCCGAGCTGGGCGCAAGGGGCGTCTCGAGCGAGAGGGGGGGGGGACCACACCGCCAGGAGGGCCCTCCCTGGCGCCTTGCGCTGGTGGTGCTCGTGGCGTCGCCTCTCCCTCTGGCGAATTGACATGGCCTTCGAGAGAGCGCATGGCGCGAGCGTTCCCGGCATGAGGGTTGCCTCGCGGATTGCGGGGGGGGGGGCACATTCGTGCAGGTGCCTGGGCGCGTGCGTCCTTCTTGGAGCCCCTGCCTGACGTGCACGAGTCGGCGAGAGCCGGGGCCCTCGGAGACGGCCCAAGAGCTGCCCGAGGAGGCCCAAGGAGGCATCAGGACGGCCCACGAGGGCCCTCCTCCTTCCCCTCGGGGCGGCGTCCCACGTCAGCATCTCCAAATCAGTCATTTGCGGCCGCCGCGCAGCCACTCGCTGTTCGAGCGTGACCTCACAGCGGCCCGGTGTCAACACATCGACGGTTCAGGACGCGACAGGTCAGATGTGCGCTGTTGGCGGACCGTAGACGGAGGATGCTGTCAGTCCTCCATGCCTCCTCCCTCTCCCTGCCATGGAGCTTCCCATCCCATCCAGCTTCCAATTTCCCTCCTCATTCCGAGGCGCGCTTGCGTCCCTTGTGCTGGCAGGTTCGCGCGACACGGCGTGTGCCTGCCTTGGCCCGCCACGTTTTTCTCGGAGCATCACAGCACATGGGATGTGCACCTCATCCGCAGACTTGCGCGACACAGCATGTGCCAGGCCTAGCCCGCCACGTCGTCTTCTCGCTCTCAAACACCTTCATCCGAGCAGCCGAGAAATCACACGTGACCCGCTCGTGAAATCATGTATCCAGGCATCCGGAGGTCCACTTCTCCCCGCAAACATCCATGCACCATGCTGCGTCAGTGGGCGTGCTCCAGCGGGTGCATCCATATTCTTAGGCAATCTCTCCACGCGGACCGTGCTCTACAATCAGCAGCTGCGGCGCTCGGTGTATGCAGAGAGGGCCTAGCAATGCGGAGGTTTGCGCCTGGCGCCAGGCGATTTGTTTGCTGATCGACGACGCCTACGGTGAATCACCGCCGCCCCCTGCCTTGTAGGATACGCCTACATTGACAAACGTTTGGGCAACGTTTCGCCATGCTATTGGACCATGCGTTCCCCCAGCCGTTGTGGAAGCTCTTCGGGGAACACGTGGGGGAGGATTGGGAGCTTCTTGGGTCATTCTTGGGGCCTCCTGGGCGCTTCCTGTGGACCTCTTGGAGGCCTCTTGGGGGCCTCCTTGGGCCTCAGGCCTTTGGGTGCTTCCGTCTTGGGATGGGAGCCTCTATGGGGCGTCTTGGGGCCTTTTCGGAGCTCTTCAGGGTCATCTTGAAGGCCATCTTGGGCGTATTGGAGGCCTCTTGAGCCGTCTTGGGGCCCTTTGGGGACCGTCTTGGGAGCCTCTTTGGCCGCCCTGGTGCTATCTTGGAGGTCTTTTGGGCGATCTGGAAGTAATCTTGGGGGCCTCTTGGGCCGTCTTGGAGCGTCGGAAGCCCGAAAACGCGAGGATGATAACATCGTTCAACAACCTAAGGACCATCACTGATTTTGGCCCCTTCGGGTCTTCCTGGAGGCCCTCTTGGGGTGCTCCAGGGCGTCTTGGAGGCTACCTTGGGTCTCTTGTTGAAGGCCTCTTGAGCTGGCTTGGGGCCTTCTTGGGGCCGTCTTGGGAGCCTCTTGGGCCGTTCTGGGGCCATCTTGGAGGCCTCTAGAGCGATCTTGAGGCGATCTTTGGGGCTCCTGGACCGTCTCGGGCAGTGGAAAGGCCGAACAGAAATCAATGCCAAACTTTGTCAAACACCTGAAGCAAATTAATGATTTTTGTCTCTGCGTGCCTTCTTGGAGGCCCTCTTGTGGGCCTCATGGGCCGTCTTGGATGTCTCTTGGGGGCCTTGGACCGTCTTGAGCCATCTTGGAGCCATCTTGGCCGTCTTGGCTGCTTCTTGGGCGGACTCAGAGGCATCTTGGATCCTCTTGGGCCGTCTTGGATGCCATCTTGACCATCGTGGGTAAATTGAAAGGCCATCTTGGGCTACCTTGGCCGTCTTGGAGACTATCTGCGAACCATGTTGGGTGGAACAACCCTTGCCTGCCACCTCTGGAGGGCGTTCTGGGTGGTCGATGGGCTGGGCCGAGACCCCACTGGGAGGTCTTTAGAACAGAGCCAAAAGCCATCCGGGCACCCAGCACGCCAGGCGCCCCTGTGATAGATCCCCAGGGGTCGGCGGATCGAAGACGCCTACGGCGAATCACCGCCGCCCCCTGCCTTTTAGAATCGCCCATGTGGCCGACCGTTGTGGCCAGAGCTCTGCCAAGCTATCGGACCACGTATGGTCCAGGGCTTGGCCCCCCCCCTCCCCCCAATGCTGATGCCATTGGGCCCCCCCCCCGCGCGATGGTCCCCCCCCCGCCCCCACCCTGTGGGCGTGGCGTGGTGCTGCGCTGCGGTGCCCCCCTCCCCCCCTGTGGATGTGGTGTGGTGCTGTGGTGGTTCAGAGGTGGGCGTGGCGTGGTGCTGCGCTGCGGTGCCCCCCCCCCTGTGGATGTGGTGTGGTGCTGTGGTGGTTCAGAGGTCGTCGTCGTCGTCGTCGTCGTCCTCGTCGTCCTCGTCGTCGTCGTCGTTGTCGTCGTCGTCGTTAATGTCGTCGTCGCCGTCGTCATCGTCGTCATCGTCGTCGTCGCCGCCGCCGCCGCCGGCGTCGTCGCCGCCGCAGCCGTCGTCGTCGTCGTCGTGGTCGTCGTCATCGTCGTCGTCGTCGCCGTCGTCGTAGTTGTCGCCGTCGCCGTCGTCGTCGTCGTCGTCGTCGTCGTCGTCGTCGTCGTCGTCGTCGTCGTCGTCGTCTCTGGGACCATACCATCTGGGGGGGGGGGGCCCGAGGAATCCTGGGACCATGCCATCTGGGGGGGAGTGGGGGGGGGCCCGTGGGCCCGGAGCCCGGGGTCATGTATACCCTTTGGGAAACACTTTGGAGAGGATGGCGGGGAAGATCAGGAGGAGGAGGAGGAGGAGGAGGAGGATGAGGAGGAGGAGGAGGAGGAGGAGGAGCAGGAGGAGGAGGAGGAGGAGGAGGAGGAGGAGGAGGAGGAGGAGGAGGAGGAGGATGAGGGCATCTTAGGAGCCTCTGGGGGCACTCATGGTGCCTCCGCGGAGCAGCTTCCTGGGGGCTTCTTGGATGCACCCGGGACCTCCTTGGGCCTCTTTGGGGCCTTTGGGGGGGCTTCTTTGGCTGACTTCGAGCGTTCCTGGCCCGTGTGACGCCGTCGGGAGCCGTCTTGGGGCCTCCCTGAACCGACTTGGGGCCCTCTTGGGGTGCTCCAGGGCGTCTTGGAGGCCATCTTGGGCGTCTTGGAGGCCTCTTGGGCTGGCCTGGGGCCCTCTTGGGGCCGTCTTGGGGACATCTTGGGCCGTTCTGGGGCCATCTTGGAGGCCTCGTGGGCGATCTTGAGGCCATCTTTGGGGACTCTTGGGCCTTCTGGAGCAGTCGGAAAGCCGACAATAAACAAATGTTAGAATCTGTCAAACCTGAAGCGAATGCAATGATTTTTGTCTCTGCGCGCCTTCCTGGAGGCCTCTTGGGGGCCTCATGGGTCGTTTTGGAGGTCTCTTGGGGGCCTCGGGGGCCCTCTTATGCCATCT